AGGGCCATAAGAACCACTTGGTGGTGGTCCATACGATCCACTTGGTGGTGGTCCATGTGAATCTTTGGGTGGTGGACCAAGGCTATCCTTAGGAGGTGGCCCATAAGAACCACTGGGTGGTGGTCCGTATGATCCACTTGGTGGTGGTCCGTGTGAATCTTTAGATGGAGGACCATATGAATCTTTAGGTGGTGGACCGTAAGAATCACTGGGTGGTGGTCCGTATGATCCACTTGGTGATGATCCAAAAGAATCTTTAGGAGGCGCACCATATTCTAATTTTGGTGGCCCGTATGTTCCAGAAGGTTGCCCAATAGGTGCCGGAGGTCCGTAGTTTGTATCTAGTATGAGCGGTGGTGGCTTATACAAATTACTTAAAGATTGTCCTTGGGAACTTTCATGATAAGAACTTCCGTCTTTTGGTGGACCATACTCAAGATTTAGTGAAGATGAACCTCCATATGAAGTCTCTATTGAATTACCGTTATTATAATTACAACAACCCTCTCCTTTTGATGGTGGTAGGGCTCCATATGGTGAACCACCAGATGTTTGTTCGTAACCGTTGTTTTTCTGAATATACGGAATTGATACACCCGGAATCGGTTGCCAGCCGTGATAAGAAATATGCGGTGGAGTTGGTGGGGACGGAACACCCGGTGGGCCCTTTGCATACGGAATTGATGGTACGCCATAAGAAGGACTCGGTGGTCCGGAAGGCAAACCGTACACGGGTTTTGGTGGCGGAGGAGCACCGTATTCCGGTTTCGGTGGTGGGCCGTATGAATCATGAAGCGGTGGTCCGTAATCAGGCTTCAGAGGCTTAAAACTAGGTTTGGGAGGGCCATAAGATTGTTTCGGTGGGCCGTAAGAATCTAATGGAGGCCCGTAACTGATACTCGGCGGTTTCAAATCGGACAAACCAAAAGGCTTCGATGGCCAATAATTTTGCTTGTTCCCGCCAAACGATGGGGATGGCGCGCCGTACGATTCCGACGGTACACCGAGACTAGCTTCTCGTCTGGTCGGCGACATATCGTCAGTTGCACCGGAATTTATCACAGCGTTAGTTGTGGCCATCAGCAGCAGGCCGACAAAAAACACCTGAAACAAAATAATATAAGTCAACGGATTAGTATGGAACTGAAAACCCCGCGGTAACGATGACCCGTACCGTTGATAACAATGTTAAATACGATTTACTAAACGAAACGTATAAAAAAAAAAAAAAAAACTATTGCGGGACGTATTATAACTATATAGTACATCATTAGACTTTCCCTTTAGCTCATTAAGCAATAACATGGACTGGACGAAAATAGCGTTGTCGAGATGTACGTACGATGCATCGTACTGACAATGACGCACAACATTAGAAATATATTGTTTCGACGGATGAAGAACAGCATACCGACTGTAATCAAGTGTTGTGCTTAGTAATAATGTGTTCTACGATTCATTCAAACTTTCCCCGTTTGTTTTAAACGTATTTCTAGTAAGACCGAAAGTATATATGTATATGCATATATGTATCTTTGTAAACATATATTGTATATATCGTAGAGAATAGCACACTTGAAAAAGTTCAAACTTTGAGTTTACCGTTTTCCTTTTGTTTACAACCCGTTTTATTCCTCCAGATTCGAAACAAGAACTGCTGATCACTATGAAATAAAGTGAACGTCTATAAATAATTTATTATGTGGTAAGTGTTTTCGAGTGAAACCGAAATTAAAATCACCTTGAAAACAATAGGTTTGCGTAAACGACGAAACTGTTGCGAAGAAAGGTAAACATTCGAACGAAAAAAAAAAACAAAACATACGATGAGAACTCGGTAACAATCCAAATCCCGAGCTTCGTTTTCACATAACGGTGAAAACTCTAGTTTAATTATTCATCATCGTCATCGCGGTGAGTCTTCTCGGTAGTGCAACATCGAACGTGTTTTTCTGACAAAATCCCGATAGTAATAATATTACCATCGAGTCCTGACAAAAAATGTCCGTAAATATTTTACCACCATATGCTTTGCTCAATTTTATTCTCGTCGCGCGAACGAAACCTTTTCGCCACGGTGCGCCAGTAGATACCGACGGTTTTGTTCTTCCGTCTGCATATTTTCTATCACCGAAAGTTTTTAAGTTTAAAGTTTAAACGACATTGTTACGGCGACGCCGGAGACGATATCAATATATTGACGCGCGCGAATCATCCGCGATCGACGTGATCCGCAACGGCTGACGATCGGTTTTCGCGTATTTCATCCGTTCGCCTGCACCAACGCACGTGTCTTAAACAACGCGCATCCGTAATCACGTCGAACTCGCACGATTCGTCTGCGTCGTTTGCAATTACACGGGCGTGATCCAGTTGATCCGGAGTATTTACTGAATTACCGACGACCAGGGCCGTTCAGAAGAGGGCAACGGGATCATTTTGTCCCAGACCCCATTGTTGAAATATTTTTCAGGGGGCCCTATAAAGTCTTGATATTCAATAATTAATAATAAAACCTCGATTGCATTGAGCAATTTTACACGTTGAGTGTCGGCGATTAAAGTCACGCGCATGGGAGCGTGTACCGACTTGTCCGATTACATTGAGCGATTGAATTATAAACAATATGAATTATATGCAACTATATCATGTAAGTATGTTATGTGAATTTAAACGAGCTTAATTGGTTAAGATTTGGAAAAATACGTTTGCAAGAATTTTGTTATTAACTATCTCAGTGAGTATTCTGTTTATTATATCTTATTATTATGGTCGAAGGGCCCTAAATTAATTTGCCCCTGGCCCTGAAAAACCTTGGGATGGCCCTACCGACGACTACGGCGGAAAACGTGTGTCTCACGTCGGTCGACGGAGCCAGTACGAAATCGCCTTGCCGAAACCCCGTCGGGAACTTGAAATTTTCGAAAGCTTCACAAGTTTTTCGCCGTCGAAAAGTACCAGATCGGGCCTCCGAAAACAGAACGTTCGACCGGCAGACCACGTCGAATCGACGGTAAGTCACTTGAGACATATTTTACGTTGAAAATTTTGTTTGTTGCAGGACAATAAGCTCTTAATCAAGGAGTTTCGTTGACGATCTTCTGACGACGCGATAACGATTCATCCCGATGCGTTTGCATATTTTTTTTGCATATAGTGGATTCCAAGATTCGACACGTCGCAGCGACACAACTGTTTCTTGTTTTAGCGTTCGTTGTTAACACACGTTTTTAAGTAATTTACAACTTTTAAAAGTCTCGTATATTCGTCCACCTTTTTTTTTCAATCCACTACAGATTAATCACCCCACTTTTAGAGGTATATCTTTCCAAATATTGTCTTTTGAAATAATGCTTTTATAACTTGAACAAATTTTTTTCGCATTACTTGGATAAGAATTTCACTCAGATGACATATTCTGCTAGAAAACTTACAAATTAGCAATGGTCCTCGTGATGTGTAGTGCAGTAGTAATTTATTCGATCGTAATTTCGGTCATCGCGACTTGTCGCGTCTTACAAACGAGAATATACCATTTTCGTAAAAACACATATTGGTGACTTATCGAACCTAGAAAACCGTGCTTTTTAACGGTCGTCGCCAATATTGACCGTTCGGGGACGATTTTTCAATTTTTTTTTTTTTTGATTTATCGTATTACCACTCATCGGAAACTTACAAAAAAAAAAAAAAAATGTACGGAGCAACATGCTTCCATGTAGACATGCAATGTACCTATTTATATACGTATGAATTTTCATTATTATTCTTCCAATGAGTCGACGAAAGATTGGGAAAAATCATATTCTGTGTGAAATAACAACGTGTGCTGCGATGAAGAAAAAAGAAAATGAGCGTTCGCGATATTGTACAGCCAAATAACAATAATAATAACCAGTGGATATTTCCAACTCATCGCGCATTAATAATGCTCTGTATTATAAACGCACACGTCATAACGCATAGCCGCAGGCCAATGATTCAGTATTCGGGTATCCGAATCACGTAAACGGCCCCGACGAGAGTTGACTAAACGTCATCGATTGTGCCGCGCGACATGGTCGTCGGGGAAGGGGTGGAGAGAGGGAATTCGCTCGTAATAAATAATAACGACGATGAATACGACAATGACGATAACAATGAGTGAAATGAAATAACGGATGGAAATAATGTTTACGTTTTTAAACTGTGCGCACCGCGACGGACGCCGGTTTTCGATACAATAATGACTCGCGCGCGCGCGCGCATGCATTCGGCCGACGGAGACGTTGTTACAATGCGAGACTCACTACCAAACACAAAACGACATGATAACAATAATAATAATAGAGGTAATAATAGTAATATTGGTAATAGTATACGGTGTTGCGGCAAACAAGTCGATTAGCAATGGTTTGAACGGTATAGGATCCGCCGAAAATCATTGTGACGGTGGTCGGTCGTTAATTTCGTCGCAGTCGATTGTAAAACGGCCGCGAAAACACAAATGATGCCCTACGCGGCACAACGGCGAAGGTACCGTTGCTTTTGTGATACGCGTACGGAGGATAAATATTATGCGCGTAAACAATATATTACAACAAGTGGCCCGTCGTTGGATGGGAAAAAATTTGGTTTTTTTTTTTTTTTTTTGTTTTCTGCGATGAATACGTTTTCGCAATTAAACAAACGGTAAACACGTGCGCGAACGACACTGTCCGCGAATCATTCACCAATGGTGAATTTAAAAACTGATTTTTTTGTACTGGAAACAACTGGAAATGTGCACTTTACGATTCGTTGCCCCGAGTGCGGAATTACAAAATATATATATATTTTCAATTATTTTCAATGGATTTAATGTGTTTTATCAGACATTCACACGTAGAATCACTCAAGCTAATTGTATGAAGTACAAAGTTCACAACGGAAAAAAAAATCATTTTTAGGTTTCATGAAATTGATTTTATTTTGTTTGAAATTGGTTTGAATTTAATGTGTTCATTTCGTTTCTTAGCTTTCTGATTATGTTTTATTCATTCGTCTTAGCGCGCCACATTATATAACCACGGACTAGATGTAATTTGGTTTCATCTATTCTGTGATATGACTATATAGTTTTACAAAACTATACAGGCATGACGTAGTCATACGAAAACGACGATTGTGCACTGTGGTTATTGGCTATGATCCCGTTAACGCTGTTGTTGTCGCGATGTTTCATCGACCTTTTCACAGCAAATATGATCGATTGGTTGCGAAAGCAAAAAAAAAGAATTTATAGTTCTACGAATATTCTGTTTCGAAATTAGGTAACCGTCAGAGGATATTATAAATACAATGTGCGTATACGATTGTTTATACTGATCGGAAATCAGTCCGATCTTTTCAATTCCATTATTCCGTTCTTTGTGACCAAGGATATTGTACTTTATGGAAGTTATTTATTTTCCCGAATTCTTCCGCAAAGTTTTAGCAGAATAATTCTTGAAACCCAGTAAGGGCATACGTACGAAATAGTATACTTGTACGACCATGTAATAAAATCACTTGGTTAAAAAAAATCCTATTTTGGAATAAACAGAGTTCCGATTGGAATCGTTAACCATACCGTTCATAATACCGGATACCGAGCTTGCACCAGATAAGTCAATACATTTAGTCAATTTATTCCTTATGCCGGTCTGATCTACGCGAAAGTTTGCGCAGTACCGTTCCATTATATATGATTACAATATGCGTTCAAAGATGAACACATAGACTAATTCAAGTTGATTTTCTTTAAATTCTTTAACTAACCAATTGTTATTCGTATTATTTGTTTATTAGCCATTGTTAACATTCATAACTGAACTAACTGCAGTAGAATTGTTTTCAAATGTACAAAGTTATAAATATATATTACAAATTACATTGCGATAAAAAATCTAAAAAGCAGATAACTGTTAGAAAATTAACATAAAAAAAGTAAATAAGAAGTTATAATTCAAACTTTAAATAAATAAGTAGAGCATAATAAATATAACAGTATAAAATATAAATAATATTTAAAGTTTTGATGCCATAATTATAATTTCCTATTAAATAAACAAATTATACAAACGGCAAAAGAAAACAATTTTTCT